GTAATGTGTTTGAAGAAACACAAAGATAAAGCTAGGATGTGGAGGTTGAAATTTATTTCAGAGACAGGATGAATGAAATGTATAAAGTGTACAGAGAGGAGGTTTGTATGGAATGAAGAGTGTTAACAAAATAGATAACCATTGATTCATTTTTTTTTGGTACTTGTGTAAAAATGAAACATCAGTCATTTCTGGTTTGTTCTTATGAGTGCACATGTATGTGTCTGCCTGTCTGCTTGGAAATTATGCCTTCCTCTGTCACTGAAAGAAATATCCAGCCCAGTTGTTTGGCCTTACAGAAGAAATACTTCTATTATTTGAGATTGGACTGAGTGCTCAAAATAAGTAATACAGGAAGAGAAATGGCCCAGGAGAAAGATGAATAAGTTTGTTCTCTTAACATTTATGTTTGCAAGCATTTTTGTTTTGTTGTTTTGTTTTTTGAGACAAGGAAGGAAGGAAATACCATTCAGTTTTTGACTAATATGATTCGTAAAATGCCACCCTTTTCTCTAAAAAAAGTAAAGAAGCTTCAAGGCCTAGCTTAAGGTTTGAGTCTTTCAAAATGTTTGTCTAATTTACTCCTTCCTCGGTCCATGTTGGAATCTTCTCCTGTGTATTCTCTGACACCTGATGTCCCCTTTATAGTTCAAAACATGCTGTTGTGACTGTATTTATATATGCATTCCTCTCAAATTCTTCATCTGTCTTTTCCACTGCTGCATTCCCAGTGCCCAACAATATGGAGTGATTGAATGAATGACCTTGTGCTGTCATAATGACCTTGTGCTATATAATTGGGTGACAATTTGGTTGTCTGATAGCATGCTCAGTACTAGCTTTCTTGAATTTATCCTCTACTATAGAACACTGAGTCCAGTCAATGTCAGTAATGTAGAGGACACTGTTAAGTAATTGTTGCTTCAAGTGAGAATAGTGTTGTGAAATAAGCTTGTTAAGCTGCCCTCTTGGCTCCTGGATAATTCTTCCACCCCTTACACATTAGAACAATCTGGTCTGCTTAACAGATAAGATCTTGGGCATGCATATTTTAATAAAATATGTCCTTGCCTTATCTTACTAGTGGTGCTGAATGACTTGTCTTGAGTCATTCAGTTGTGTAGTAATTGAGTGCCTACTGTCTATCTTCCAGATGTTGTTCTAGGTTCTTTAGGTATTGTACAGAAAAAAACGAAACCATATCCTACTCAAACATTGTACAGGGAAATAATAATTAGCATGTGAAAAAAGGAAATTTTAGATATATTAGCAAGCAATAATGGTATAGCAAAAAAAGAAAAAAAGGAGTATGAAGACAGGGAGAGAGATGCTATTTTAGATAGAGGGGTAAGGATGGGCCTCATTGAAAAGGTGAATTTTGAGCAAAAATTGGAAGAACTAAAGGAATTAGATCTGTAGATATCTAGGGGACAAGCATTCTAGGCAGAAGAAACTGTCATTGCAGAGGTCCTGTGGAGAACGCTGCATTCTTTATTGGAACTAGAGCAAGAAGTCCGTGTGGAGCTGATTAAGAGCATCAGAGAGAAGTGGATGAAGTCAGAGAGATGACTGGGGACCAAGTGCTGGAGGATCTAAAGGCTTTGTGAGCCACTGAAAGGATTGGGTATTTTACTCTGAGTGCAGTAGAGAGCCTTTGAGGAAAGGAGTGACATGATCTGAGGTTTTTAAAGAAGCACCCTGCCCCCTGTGCTGAGAATAGACTGGACTGAGTCCCAAGTATCTGGATGAGTCTCAGAAGCATGTGGTTACAAATTGTCAATATTATTTTAAATACTCATTTAAAGATAGAAGAAATGCTCTGTGCCCTTATAATTGTTTTGAATAGGGCTGATTCGTGGTAGAGATACTGATCTATAGATATAGAAGAGATTTTCTTCTACATAGGTTCTTTCTAATCATATCATGCTTTTAAAAGGGGGAGATCTTGACACACGGGTATTATCCAAGAGTGCTTGGTAAGTAAAGGCCATAGAATGGGGCACGTCTGGAGTACTGAAAACCACTTATTACAGGGTTCTGCCTCCTCACTGGTACAGTACTCATAAGACTCATTTTGAGAAATGTGATTTATGCTCTTCATACTTCGATTAAATTTGAAGGAGACCATCTTCACAAGTGAGAAACAAGATTTATATCAGACCATAAAATCATCTTCTCAGTCTTCGGCCTAACAAAGACTGGTTTAATTCCTTTTCAAAGATGGGAGAACACAGCTTTCCAAGTGTACTCAAGTCAGGCCTTCTTTAATTTATTTTAGGAATTTGATTTTTATTACATTTTAGGAATTTGATTTTTGGGAATTAGATTTTTAGGGCAGTGGCAATATTAGGCATGTCTTCACTAAAATGTAATTAAATCTACTTTCCTGAAACAAATACAATTGAAATTATGTGACTCTCCATTAATGTCCTCTTGAAATTTACTTTTTTTTTTTTTTTAAGTGGTTCTGTGGATTAAACCCAGGCCTTACACATTCTAGACAAGTACTGTACTACTGAGTCACATTGTCAGCCCTGGAATTGACTTTAAAAATGTGACCATCTACATTTCCTCTCCATATGTCTCTCATAAACAGTAACTGTGCATGATGCTTGCTTTTGTCCTCTGTTACAAGATTTATTTTGGAAATCTTCCTAATGGGAGTTGAAATTTGAGAACTGATGTTCATGAATTGGATTTTGGGTCTCATGGAAACAATACATAGGGATTAGGTTGATTCCTATAAGACTTCTGACATAAATAATGCTTTTCAGTAGATTTCATTGTAGCCTATTAGCAATGCTTGATAGTTATTACCATATAGGCTGATACATTTTTTGTACTTATATAATGGTTTGACAGTCTTACCCTTGTTCTGGAAATTTTAGTGATAAAATATGGTCTCTAATGGGGAAGGGGTTGAGAGAAAATACAGAATGGTAGAATATTGTAAGTCGGGTGCTTATAAGACTGAAATTGGATTTTATCTTCCTCAGCCTGAGCCTTGAAATTTTCTTTTCTTTCCCCGTTTTTCTTTTGGTCCTGGGGATTTAACCCAGAGGTGCTCTACCAGTGAGCTGCACCACCAGCCCTTTTTGTTTTTATTTTAAGACAGGGTTTCATGAAGTTGAGACTGGCCTCAAACTTGTGTTGCCACAGAGCCTGGCCTGGCCTGAGCCTTGGATTTAACTGATGTTACTGTTATGGCAACATTTATCCCAGGTTTTTAAGGAAAGTCCTAATTTCAGAACACTAACCAGGACTGGGAGTTTAGCTAAGTAGTAGAACACTTGTCTCCATGCACAAGGCCTGCGTTCAATCCCCAGTACTAGAAGCACAAAAAAATTATTCATAGAATTCTCTTCTTTATCAGATTATGTGCCAATTTGAGGTTTAAAAATATATTGGTGATTAGGATAGGATATTGCTATATTCTTGCCAGATTTCTTCTTCCTTATCGAAGATTACCTTCATAATAAATATTAAGAATTATTAAGGAAATTATCTGAAGAAAATGATTCCCTGTTTTTGTGACGTCTATAAGACTTTTAAAAGTAACTTTTTCTTGGTGTAAATTCTGTGTCTGCTGGAAAACTTTGGAGGCAATATGTGCTGGGATTGAGATCGTGCTCTCTGAGGTCAGACAGTTTGGACTCAACTCCTGACATTATTGATCCTTTTGACCTTGAGCAAGGTACTTACTAATCCTTGGTTTCTGTTTCCTCATCTATGAAATGAGAATGCTGGTAGGGCCTACCTTATGGAGGTGTTGGGAGTAAAAATGCTTACAAAGTGCTTGGCACAGAATCAGTGCCAGCTGCCTTTGGTCATGTTATGTTGTGCTTGGAATATCTCTGAATCAGAACTACCTTTATAAAAACACTTCAATGAGTAATTGACTTGCCTAGCATTCATGAGGCCTTGGGTTCAATCCCCAGCCCTCAGAGACCAGACAGAGAGAGAATATCTAATTTACTCCTTAGATAAAGAGTCTAGAGTCCTCCTTTTCCTCAAGGCAATATAGACATGTGAGTTTTAAAAATATGAAATGCTAAGATCTAACCTTAAGGTTACAGATCGGTGAAATCCTGTCAATTTCATGAAATTGGGAACGAATGATGATAGTCCTTTAGGAAAATTGTGACAGAAAAAAGTTTCATTCCTTTTGGAGGAAGGAAAACACTTTTAAAGATAAAAGTGATTTTAGTCCCAGTCTGGTTTTTGTGTTCCCATACTGTGTAATGCAGTAATAAGTAGGTTAAGGCATTGTGTCTAGAATTTCTGTGGTGAACCTGTTGGACTTGAATATAATCATTCCCTCTTCTTAACATATAAAGATAGATTTAATAACCAGTACCACACCTATGGGGAGTTCTGGAATGCCTTGTCCTGTCAAACAGATCAATTGTGTTCCTTCTTCCTTTAAGGTAAATGTAGGAATATTGTCAGTGAAAAATATCCTTTTACTAATCACTCCTGGAAAAGGAGAATTCTAGTTTGAAAATCTAAAAAATACTCCTATTTCAAAACCTGCAACATAAAAGGTTTATAATGAAAATATAGTGGTGGATTTTTAAAATATAAGATGCTTTATTGTTGCTATGCACTGAGTTGTACTGTATGTTTCTTCTGCAAACGTGACCTTTGTAAGAAAACTGATCCTGGCACGTTTATCTTCCTAATCTCCATCTTTGCTTTTTTCTTTTCATTTTTGAAATCTAAATAAATCATTTAGTAAATTCTTTTTCTCTAGAGAAACTGGGAAAAGATAGATCAAGTAGGAATGAGTTTAAAAATGTTTAGACTAGATGGCTGGTGGTAAAGTTAGAATAGTGGGGTTAAAAATTTGCTACCACCTCCCCCCAAGAATTTGTTGAGCTTTTATTTATCATTATGGTACTTAATGGGTGGCCTTTCCTTAAAAACTCTGGAAAGTCTTGTGAAGATAAGAATTTCCCTACAGGTTCTTGATTATTGTGTAACTCTTCATTCATTTCTAGGTATCTGGTGACCCATCTCATGGGGGCAGATCTGAACAACATAGTGAAGTGTCAGAAGCTTACAGATGACCACGTTCAATTCCTTATCTACCAAATTCTCCGAGGTCTAAAGGTATTGACAATATCAGCAATAATTTTGAGAAATTAATTCCTTCCTTCCCTTCCTGCCATTTAGGGCTTAAAACAGATAATCACACGTTATCACATGTTATCATGTTCACTCAGTGACCATAACTACCAGCATTTGGCCAACCTTGTTTCTGTGGTGTTTCTCAAGCCATAGGTTATTTTAAAGCAGGTCTAGGCATCGTATCATTCCATCCAGAGATACCTCAGTATGAGTATCAGAGAGAGAAGGACTTTTCAATATTACATCTAAAAGTATAACTTATTGATACAGTCTAATATCTGATTAGTATAATATTGAAGCTTTAAAAAATTTCTCAAGCAGAGAAACAGTGTTGTAAAATTAAACCATGTTTGATATTTAGCAACTTTGAATCCTTATTGAGTCCCAAAGTGCCAGCCAGAAGATAGGTTGAAAGATTGAGTGGAGTCAATGTCTGTGGAAATCATTGTTATGATAAATATATATATCATTGATAATTTTACTGATGTTATTTTACTGTGAACTAGTAGTTCTTACTGATTCATTAAAATGTGCTGGAAATATACTATAGAATATGGCAGTGGGAGGCTGGAAGTAACTTTCATTTAACTGACTTTTTTTTTCCTCTCTGGCAGTATATTCATTCAGCTGATATAATTCACAGGGTATGTACCATGACTTTGATTAAATTATTCTAGGGCGGTAAGGTGGGGAGAGTAGAAGAATGGCATCCTGCCAAGATTTGGTCTAAACTTACTTTTTACATTTACCTATTGATCCATTGCAACTTTGCTCTGGGTTAGAATGATTGAAGAAAGATTTATAATTTGTGCCTGATGAAGGCTAATTGGTCTAGATACCATAACATTAGATGTAATGGAGACTGTCTGTTTATAACTGGATGAGGTCTTACTGTTGTCTGGATCCTCATTATTACCTGGAGAGAGAATTTATCATGGATCATAAAGTTGATCCTGTCTTCTGTGTACTTACTTCCTAGGACCTAAAACCTAGTAATCTAGCTGTGAATGAAGACTGTGAGCTGAAGGTAAGAGGAAGCGACAGCAGTGATTGTTTATTTCACCTGACAAACCTGACAAATTTCACAGGGACAGATTTATAGGCCATGACTTTTTATCTGAAAAATTCATATTGTCCTTAGGAATATCAGACTTTGAAATTTAAACCATAGTCTGAGTAAGCTGTTTAAATGACTTTGATAATGGCATTAGGTGTTTACATTTTAAAATAAAGTTAAATTAAAAATGTGACTTATTATTCATAATAAAGGAAAACTATAGTCTGACTATCAAAGCATACTGAAGCAGTAATTACTAGATTAAATAGATTCCTAAAAGGAAAAATCTTAGAAACTTACTCAAAATAATTCAAATAAGAGACAAGTAATTATGGGGCTGGGATTGTGTTTCAGCAGTAGAGCGCTCGCCTAGCATGTGCGGGGCCCTGGGTTCGTTCGATCCTCAGCTCCACATAAAAATAAATAAAATGAAGATATTGGGTCCAGTTACAACTAAACAATTAAAAAAAGAGAGATAAGTGAATTAATCATATATAAAAGAGTAAGCAGCTCTGGAACTTGATTTCTTCTTTTTTCTTGCCCTGTTTAATGAACATACCAGAATATGAATATTTATTCACCTGTTAGGGTGAATAAATAGTTCCAGTTTGGAGCTATTTGAAGTTACTATGAATATTCAGTTTTAAACCTTTGTATGGACGTATGTTTTATTGCTCTTGAGTAAATACCTAGGAGTCACATTTTTTATTTTGCTTGTAATTTTATGTTTCTAAATTCTTATAGTGTGTTCACCATGCATTCTTAGTATGGAGTGGGAGATCTGCTTATGAAAGTGCTTTACTGTTCCTTTTTCACAAGGCAACAGAAATTTTCCCTGTCTAAAGTCCTAGCAGTTTGCCTGTTCCAGTGCCTGATTTTCTCCTTCCCTTTAGATTCTGGATTTTGGACTAGCTCGACATACTGATGATGAAATGACAGGCTACGTGGCTACAAGATGGTACAGGGCTCCTGAGATCATGTTGAACTGGATGCATTACAACCAGACAGGTATTGATTGCTTACATGGGTTATTTATGGCCTTATCAATACCATATTGGATACATTTGGGATTCTCAGAAGTAGCGGTAGAGTGGGAAGAAATATGTTTCTTCCCTCAGTGATCCTTTTAAAGCCTACAAATAGAAAATATTTTACTTGCTTAGATGGGGAGGTGGAGCTTTTTTATACACAGCTTTTAAGCTTTGTGATTTAGTAATTGAATTTTTATTTATTTAGATTTTTTCAACATAATTCTTTGAGTACTTCTAGCAGAAGATAATGGGTTCATAATCTTAACCTCTTTATGTTACTTGGGAGAATCCACTACTTTACCACTGAGAACCTTTTTCCCCTTTGTGAACAGTTTATTTCTTTTCCCTTAAGTATGTTTAGACTTACCCTGCCTGTGAAGCTCTTTACTGGGGTGAAGGTATCAATCTTATTTATCTGTATAGAAATGAGTAAAATGTTGAATCTCAGATGTTTTAAATATTAATTTGAATATTTCACCTCTACTTATAGTTCCATTTGTGACCAAGCATAATAATAGTGATAATGTACGTATGTACTTTTATTTCTCTTTAATTTTGCCAGTGGATATATGGTCAGTGGGATGCATAATGGCGGAGCTGTTAACTGGAAGAACATTGTTTCCTGGTACAGACCGTATCCTTTTAAAAAGTTTTGGATTCTTATTTCTTATCTGTATTCTAATGTCTGTGGTTGTGTATTATCTTTACTTATCTATAGAGAAGGCTCTCAATTTCTTGCTTTTCAGATATTCTGCCCTCTTGCTGAGTAGCTTGTCTTGCCAGGAAAGTGGTTTTTTTTTTTTTTTTTTTTTTTACTATTTAGTTTTCAGTTATAGGTGGACACAATATCTTTATTTTATTTATGTGGTGCTGAGGATCGAATACAGTGCCTCACACATGCTAGGTGAGCGCTCTACCTCTGAGCCATAACCCCAGCCCCAGGAAAGAGGCTTTAATTTATTTTTGTTAACAAGAAAAACTTTTCATAAGCTGAAAAATCCTTTCATCTGTCATCTTTTTACAGCAAGTCCCTTATATTAATCTTTCCACAGCAGTTCTAAGACCTGAGCAAACTCATGAGAAGCTGTAGATCCCATTGACAGGTTTAGTTGACTGTACAAAATCTTCATGAGCACAGATACTCTTTACAAATCAAGGGTATCTTGCAGTTATGTTTGGTTTATGTACTAAAAGGCCATGTTTGGGCCCTGTTATGTTTGTTGTTTAACAACAAATAGTAAAAGCAAGAAGTGGTCACCATGTCGTGTACCTTTGTTTTGCAGCACAACTTTATCCCACATGGTAGCGAAACCTCAGTTTATTGTCTAGTTTATGGCTCATCATAGCCTTTTATTTCATCCTCTTTCCTAACTGCTATATGTTTGTTTCATGATGTAGTAATATTGTCATCAAAATGTAATTTGTTGGAACACCCATCAATCACACTTGAGGAAGATGTTTAGGGGAGAAAGATTTTTAAAATATATGTCTAGAATTAGTGTGGGGGACTTTTGTAAAATTTAATTGAGTTTCAAATGGTTTTGGTGGACTTTTAGAAATGCTACAGTTACCTGTATGTGGTCATGCTTAGAGATCTAAAAACTGTTTTAGCCTCTTACCTAAATAAACCCATTAAGATTACAAACCAGAATGTCAGTTTGCTTCATTTATTGTTTGGGATATATTTCTATGGTAACTGTAATTTTAATGTTAATATAGTCTGTTCAGAAATTCTATTCTAACTGTATTCTGCTAGACAGAATGTATTTTCCGTGTTAACTGGAAAAAAACTTTTGTTCCCAGGTAAAACAGTTCATTTCTCTCTGAGTATTACTGAATTGATACAGAGTTCAATCTGCCTGTATTTAGCCCACCTTATCACTCTCCACCCCTAGATTTTAAGTCAGTTTAATAGAGTGTGTTTCCCTAATCTTTTTTAAGTGGTTTTACATCTGTTTCTTAGAAATCTGGTATATGTATATTAATTATTGTCCAAGTTGAGAGAATTAGGGGAAATTTGTAATCCCCTTGGTTTGCCCTGGAGCAGATGCTGTCCTCTGTTCCCTTCTCCCCTTCCTTTTCTTGGCGTCTGTATCTCCAGCTTTTGTTTGGCCAGTCACAGACACACTTGCCTACATAGACACACATAGTGGCAGAGAGACAGTGTAGGATGCTGATAGGAGCCCATGCCCTGGAATCAAATTCTGGGTTTTGATCTTAGCTTTTACTTCCAGCTGTGTAACTTTAAGGAAATTTTCTAACCTCTGTGTCTCTGTTCCCTTAATCATAAAATGCTAGTAAAAATATAATTCACAGGCTTTTGTGAGAATTCAGTGAAATATTATGTGGACAGCACTTAGACCAGAGCCTGCCAGTAGATGCATCATATTCATTGTGGTCTTTGAAAACAATTTTTCCCTCCATCCACCTGCTTTATTATCTACCTGTGAGTCATTAATGATTGTTATTATTGATTCTTTGGCAGGTGGTAAAGGATAGATCCCCTTGGCAGGCTAGTGATAGAAAGTGTTCAAAGCAGTGTGATATGGCCCTTTTAGAATGCTAACTTTCATTCTGTAAGAAGTGTTCCTTTTTTGCATACCTAATATTTAAACTTTAATAGAGGATTTTTTGGAGGGGCGGTACTATGGATTAAACCCAATGGTTCTCTACCATTGAGATAGATTCTTTCAAAATTTTTATTTTGAGTCAGGGTTTTACTGAGTTGCCCAGGCTGACCTCAAACTTGTGATCCTCCTGCCTCAGCCTGAGATTACAGGTGTGCGTTACCATGCCTGGCAGGATTCAGTTTTTTTTTTTTTTTTTAATTTTACCATTTGTTGGTGAGCCTTTATTTATTTTTATGTGGTGCTGAGAAGCAAACCCAGTGCCTCACACATGCTAGGCAAGACTCTACCACCAAGCCACAACCCCAGCTCAGGATTCATTTTTTAATACATGAAAATTCTGATTTTAGTAATTCACCATGTCCTTCTAGTTGGCTCTTTTCTGGACATTATCATTGGTTGTAAACATTGAATTTGAAGGATTTATATTTATAGTATACTTAATCTTCCTATTATCAGTTATCATCTTTGAGATATAGCTTTAGTTGCCTGACAAGAAGGAGAGAGGGAAGTGTTTGCCATTTTTTTTGACTGGAGTGTACAATCACTTATGTTCTAGCACAGTGCTTCTCAATCTTCACTGTGTATCAGAATCATTTGAGGAAGCTTTAAAAAAAGTTCTAAGCTGGCCATGTTGGCACACACCTATAATCCCAGGGACTTGAGAGGCTGAGGAAGGAGGATCATGAGTTCAAAGCCAGCCTCAGCAGTTTAGTGAGGCCCTGAGCAATTCAGCAAGACCCTGTCTCTAATAAAATATAAAAAAAGGACTGGGGATGTGGCTTGGTATACACACACACACACACACACACACACACACACAAAAGCTCTAGATGCCTGGGCACCACCCTAAAGACTTCAGTTGGTGTGGGTCAGAGCACAGGATTTGGTGTATTTAAGTCTTCAGGTGATTCTAACTTGTGCAGCAGAGGATTGAGTACAACTAGCATTTAACCCAGTTGAATTTAGTTTCTTCCATGGCTGATCCTGGAAAAGGGTATTTAGGTTACTAGTTTTTGTCATTTTTCTTAAGATACAGATGAGATCAAAGAGTTCCTTCCAGTATCCTATTCTTTTCCAGTCCTTTGATTTTTAGAATATCTCTTCAAAACCTTTGGAAGAGGTGCTGGTTTGGCTCTAAAAGTATGCAGCTACAGATTGTTGATGATTTTTAAATGCTCCTGATTACTGAGGCAGCCTCCAGAGAGTGATGCTTATTGGAGTGCACAGGTTTTTCCTGGTTTTCCTTATTGATTAATTATTGTGTATTCGGAACTGGTAGTCTTGGCTTCTAGATAAGAACTGTCCTATAGAGCTTTTTGTGATGTTGCAAATGTCCTGTCCAATATAGTGTTGGTGGCCACTAGCCTGTGTGGATATTGAAATTGACTAGTGCAACTTAACTTTATGGAAAATATTTTGTGTGATTCAAAACATAAAATTCATTTTAATTTTTATTGTGGTAAAGTAGACATAACAAATTTTACCATTTTGACCATAATTCAATAGTGTTAATTACATTCACATTATTGGGAAATCATCACCAATATCTGCTATTCTTGTAAATCCTTCCATCTGGCTTAATAGTATTATTATTTTGTAAAAAAGGAAGCCCTTTTCTAGACACCTAATTGACAAGGTATTTTAAATGAACATAATTGACAATTTAATATTATAGGGAGGGAGAAGTCAAAATGTCTCTTCAGGTGAGTACTAACTTATTCAGATGCTGATTTTGAAATAAGTGAGTCAGAAGATGTTATAACTGACACTTGACACATCCTTAAGCTTAAGGCAGAGAGAGAATGAATTTTATAGTCCTATTATGTGTCAAATACAGTTTTTCCTACCAGAGATCACAGCCTTGGTGTGTTCATTTCCTTTCCTAAGTAATCAAGTAAGCTCCCTTCATGTATGAAAGCCCTGCCCCTTCTTTCTTTTTATAGAAATGGTCTTACATCTGCTGGAGGACGATGGGGCTGTTGAGTCACATAGTCCACTTTACAGGATGTCTGCTGCTCTGCTCATGTGCATTTTCTTGGTATATTAAGTTGTCCCGTTAATTCTGTGGTTACTCATTTCTTCTTTTGATGTTTTCCAAGCATGTTATGAAATATTTCAGACACACCACAAGACAAAGAATAATATAATGAACACCTGTGTGCACTTCACCAGCTTATGGGATGGTGTAGGCAGCTGAGCCCAAGCTGCTGGAGTGCCCCTTCTCAGTCACATTTATCCATCACTTTCAGTGCTTGGTTTAAAACATTCTTCCTCATTTTAGAAAAGCAGTTTCATGGTAGACTCTAAAAGCAAATATTGTAATAAATGTTGAAGAAGAAAAATATTTTATTAGATTGTCATTTTGCCCTTTGTTGTTTAATTGAGAATGTATTTTTGGAAAAAGCTAGACTTCTCAGGTTTGTTGATAAACCTAGGATATCTTAAGAAAGAGAGAGAATGTGTGTGTGTGTGTGTGTGTGTGTGTGTGTATTAGTTATAGTGAAAATTACTACTTTGACAGCCTAAAAGAGAAGGAAGTAGGCTGGATTTCATTTGAGTCCATTCTGTTTGTCACTAGAAGGACTTCAGCCCTCCCAAAGGATTCCGTAATTTATCCTTTTGTGGATTTATTTCATTGAAAACTGTAACTCACAAGCAGCCAGGTCCCGCTACTGATCCTGCTTATCTTCAACTCTGTGGCCTGTGGGGGTTTTCTAGGAATATGCCTAGAGCCCTTAGAAATGATTAGAATATCCATCCCTCTTTTACTTTTCCTCTAATTATCCTGTTACCCTTAGGGGTTTTGTTTGTTTGTTTTTGTTGTTTGTCCTTACCTGTTCATTTTGACTATCTTTTACTTCTGTTACAGAGAACTTACTCTAAAACATAATCTTAAGGCCTAATATCTTTTTCTTCATTTGTTTAAAACACAAATCTGGAGATTTATGATTTTAAAATTTGACTTTATGATCATTATAATTAAAACCCATTTTAAACGAACAGT